GGGCTAAGACAGTGATTTTTAATAATTAAGAACTCGTTAACTATTACGACAATTGCAAAGTGGTAGAGAACTTTTCGACTTATTGTTAGTCTAGTCCGCTCTATCCGCAAATAAGAGGTGTGACGGGTATTACATAACACCCTGTATATTTTATACGTTTCAAGTATATTTTATACACATATTTTGAAATAATTAAGACGCCTCTAAAATAAACGTAGCAATCAAAATTTATTCGTATGGACATCAGAACATCAAAATATTAATAAACGCATTTTTTAAATAATATTGTTAATATAGGATCGTGTTAGGAACGAAATCAATATAGCTATGCAACAGAATGGAGAGAAATTTACTATGAAATTATTGCAAAATCTATCATATTTAGATAGATGTGTAAAAGAAGCATTGCGCTTATATCCCAGCGTATCTATAATATCACGTATTTCTACGGAAGACGTGCAATTACGTACGTAAATAACCCCTGCTTTTTGTTAAATATTAAATATATTACGCAACATGTCAACAAATTGAAAAGCTAAATATGTATACAAAATATAATATTCGTCTTTCAAAGAATCTAAAATTTCTATATATTTAAAAATAATGTTTGTATAATAGCCCAAAAATGCAATATACAAAACTAGATATATAATATAATACACAATATAAAAAATAATGTAATATTGTTTAACTAATTCAAGTAATTAGAACCATATATGTTTTGTTACATAAACCGTAAGTACACGGAAAAAACAATATAGTTGTCACAAACAGAATTCTGGTTGTGTCAACCAGATTAAATAGTAAAATATGGAACAACTAATTATCTGGCTGTTATAACCACAGAGCAATTGTTAAATGACATTGTTGCAGCAGTGACGATACCTGGTTGCCTTAACCTTTGCAATACGTATCCTGATTGACGCAACAATGTGGATAGATTATCATATCCACTGTAAATAATGCTCCAACCAAAGTCTGGTTGTCACAACCAAATCATGTACAACTACATTGATGTAGTTGATACAACTAAGTAACAAAGTCATATCAATCATACACATAATCATTGCATAAAGATAACTAGGATAATGCAGCTATATTGCTTACAACTAAATATTTCTGGTTATGTGCACCATATCACTTTTTTCCGTGTACGTATTCATTCCCACATTGTGTTACGGAGATATTTGATTTAAAATTTTTAGTGACATTATTATTTGCAAATTGTATCTCAGTTTTAATATCTTTTTTAGAGTCATATTTAGTACCTGCTAGAACAATTTTGGATCTTAATATTTACGGAGTTCATAGAGATCCTAACTTTTGGCCAAATCCAGATACATTTGATCCAGATAGATTTTTACCTGAAAAGATTAAAAATCGTCATCCTTACTCGTACATACCATTTAGCGCTGGACCACGTAATTGTATTGGTAAAGTATTACTTTTTTAAAATCCTCTTATACATATAAATAGAATGCGGGAAACATCAAATTGTAGGTCAACGGTACGCTATGCTGGAATTAAAGGCTATGATAGCACCTCTGGTGCAAAATTTTTATTTAGAGCCTGTTGATTATTTAAAGGATCTTCGGATACATATTGATTTGATACTTCGTCCAGCTCATCCAGTGCGCATAAGATTTGTCCCTATTTGTAAAATGAGTGAAGGCACTTAAAACACATACCGATTTAATGAATTTTGTAAAAGACATTTTGGTGTGCATATTATACATATATGTTCTATAATATATAGAAGATTTATTTGAATCACTAAAGTATTTACAATCATGTAAAGTAGTATATATTTATTTGTGAGTAGTACTACTACTCACAATGATGAAAAAAAAGGGTAAAATATTTTAAGGGAATTTAGTATGCCTAATAAGTCGAAAAGTCTTAATAAACAGAGGTTCGTAAATGGGTTATTTTTTCAGGTACTTTTATTTTATAATTATTTAAATTATTATTATTTTATTGTTTTTATTTTTATTTTTAATATTGTTCTTTTAAACGGGCCAACTTGTTGCTATGATTATTGACGTTGTTGCACAATGAAGAACTATTTTCCCGAATTAGGTAATTAAGTTATCATATAACACTATTCCAAATATCTCAAAAACACCCTTTTTGGACACCCTGTGTAGAGTGTAGGAGAATAAATGCAAAAGCATCATTGTATACGAAAGAAATTATGTATATTATATTCTGCGTATTAAACACGCTATGAAATATATACTATGTATGTAAATTGTAATGTATAGAAGAAATATATCAAATATGATACAAGTAAAAGCTGTCTAAATTCATCAAATAAGATTATATCCATTGATATTTTTTATCATTATGTTATAATTTTTTCTAATGGTATAATTAATCAATCACATAGCATATGCAACAAAGCTATAATCGTATCGTTATAATATACCTACATATAATAATCTCATTGTATTCTTTTTATTAAAAATTTAAATGTCTTAGCCAGACGTTCGAACAATTGTATTGGTTAATTGTAAATTTTCGTTGGGTTTTCAATTTTTGTAACAATTAATATGGTTTTAAATTCAATCAAAAGTGATGAAAAATTAAGACTTTTGTCGAAAATCAATTATTATTAATTTATTTCCTTTGACGCATTATATTTCATGATAATATAATCGCTGTTTAAACTCCATTATCAATTCGATTTTCTGATTAAAATAGAATGCATTTTCTCTCTTTTACGCATTTCTCTAATCGTTTGTGTTATATATTAATTCACGGAAAATTTTAGCACGTAATGCATTATTATCTATAATAATCTCATAATAATCATTCATTCGGGATTATAGATCGAATAAGCAGCAATTTCAGAACATTATGTCGTAACTTTTAATTTATCATTTGCGTTCGTGAAAGCCGCGCAATTCGCGACAAGTCACAGGTCGGCACGGAAACGCCGAACCGTTTTGAAATTACGTAATAAATTCAGCAGGGAAACTGAAGGGCTGGCGCAACTGCGGAACGAGGATAGAAATCGTCGTTAAATATTTCGCGAGAACCCGAGCACTCGCGACTGATTTACAGACGACGGTACGTGCGTGACGTACCTGCGTATTTCACGCGCACGATCCCAACTAGCTCGTCGCTGTCGTCCGTTATTCTCTTTTTCTGCGAACGATCTGTTTTTGCGATAAGCAGAATAAGAGAACATACTCGTAGGTTTTTCGAATGTACAGACGACGCAAAGTTAAGAGGAGAGAAGACGAAGGGAAAACGACGGACATGGGAGACTAAGAGGAAGACGCACGTATCGCCGAAAGATACGGCCTGGCAGAATTGCGGAGTTCCTGCACGGAAATTACAGATGCGGCGTGTTTCACGCTCGAATGAAAGTGTCTGGCGAAGAGCACTCGACGAGTATAAGAGAGCGTACGAGAGGTAGAATAAAAAAAAAGTCTGGTGCCTTCCTGGAGACTCAGTTTTATCGACAGTTAGTATCCAAGCATATGGTTAAGAGATGTACAATTTATTTACGATTGTTCGTTCCCTTGGTCATAATAACAAGAAACATTGTAAATTAAGGGTTGGGAAGTAACTCATTACTTGTATCGAAGTTATAGTTACAGTTACTTCTTTTTGGCAATTCTAACTTAACTTCGTTACTTTTTCTCCATCTGTAACCGTAACTTAATTCAGTTACATTTTTTCGATAACTAGTAACTAATTTAATAGTTACATTAATAGTTACTTTATATATTTTTTAAACCTTCACTTAATCGCATAGGCCTTGCCTTTGCGTATAAGCGCCTCCCATAAGCACAATTCATTGCCTGTACATTGGCTAACATTAGTTAAACATTGGTTACGTTGGCAGTGAATTGGCCAATATTTCCCTAATATAACACCAATATTGGTCATAAAATTAATGCAAATATACTACTGATATTGTACCTAAATGATTACTTAGTATTGGATTGAATGTATTAGCAAGATTGTCCAATAAAATTGTAATATTGAGTATAAAAAAACTAATGTATCGCCGATGTTACGTATCAATAATTGCACGGTACTGTATTTACATTGAAAGTGCATTGCAAAAATATGAGGCCCTCCACCACCCCCGCCAATTTCGATCGGCGGTCCTCTTTTCGTTACAATAATCATTTTCTTTTGACATTTTTATCATTATTATATTTTCATCACAATTAATTTTATAATTTATTACAATATATATCATGTAGCTATGTCTACTCTCTAAAAGTTAATCAGTGGATTATTACAGAAAACAGTGAATATCCACTGATTCACAGTTACAAGTATACCACTATATAATATTATATAGTAGAATAATTTTTGTCTTATTGTGTGCATCCGATTACAAAATTAATATTACAATGTTATAATATTATTAATGCGTTTAATTATTATTAAATAATATACAAGAAATACGTAATAATTACAACAAACGAGAGTACAACATTCCTAATAACTCGCTTATTATAATTTAACATACTTTTTAAATTTTTAGGAAAAATATTTATTATTATAAATTATTTATTTAAAATAAAATCGCGACGCGATTATTAGGGATACAATTGGGAGTTTTAACTTGCGCACGATTTAGATTTAATTCAGTTTCTTTCCAATCTCGCATACAGGCGCGAGAAAATATAGAAAAAAATATCCCACCCGACTTTTGGCAAATAAAAAGATATATACAAGTAGATCTAAATAAATTTTTATACACTTCACCATCGTGGTCAAGAAGGACCACTTATCTCGTTGAATCTTGCGTTGGGCCAGATTGGACCTACCTTTCGTCGCTCCTGGCCATACAATCTGGTCATTTTGACCAGAGATCAGGAAGGAAGTAAACTCCTTCCATAGTCGGTTATCGTCACCGACAAATATTTCGTACGGTTCGAATATACGAGTGTCGAACGTATCGCAAAATGCACGACCACGAGAGGTTAATTAAAGGAGAATATTAATTAAAAAAACTTTACTGTATATACGAATCAAATTTAATTTTACTTCCGTTACTTATTTAAAAATATTGACCATCTCTTCGAAACTTGATTTGTTAATTCAAAATTCAAGTACATATAGAAAAAAATTTACTTCGCGTTTGAGTGATTTTAATCAAATTCCTCGATAAAATAAAATTTATAATATAGACAAAATTAAATAATTAATAATTTATTAAAAATTGTTCTTGAAAACCCGATCGCGAAAACCGACCGCGTAAACCGACCGCGAAGATGCGTGTAATTGTGCATGTCGTTCATGAGATACGCATCTTGACAATACATATTATATATCAAATCAAATATAGAAAATATAAAAAATAAATGGATAGGTTACAAAAGATTAGCTCGACAAATACAGCAAGACTATATTTGGCAAGCCATACTTTGTGTAATTTTTGTAACAATTCTCAAGATGTAAATTGAATTCAATATATCGTAATATGTGCAATAGAGTTTCCTCAGATTAAAAGAATGTAATAGAAAATTAAAGGCCCTGCTGCAGGAAAGAATGAATCCCAGATCTTCCGGATTACCTCCGATAGCGGTCATTTCGGCAGGGAGTTAACGACGATCGTTTTTCAAATCATTGAATCTCGTATGTTTTCATTTTTATTGAAATAAAAATTGTTCTTCCATTATCAGTGTTAATGGGAGAATATTTATGGAGAAAGATATATATAAAATCTTCTCTTCTTTTTTTTGTTAATTTCGCGAATCGACGTCACGCCTTCGTGCCGAAACCGTTGCTTTCGAAGATCTGTGACAAAGAAACCCAGGGATTAACTCTGGTTCTGCAACGGCGTAGCTAACTTTCCACATTAAAAATTGCCTACACTCCTCTCCGGAGTTTCAATATATATGGAATAAAAAATTTACTTGCCGTTATCATTTGCAACCTATCCATTTTAAGGCAACGAATATACAAGATAATCTACGATCTACAATTTATGAGCTACGAAATGCACTGTAAAAAAGTATGTAAAATTACATACATAATAAGTATAGCGAATACACTATTAATAACGAAAATATATAAGTGTATATACTTTTGCCAAAAAAAATTTTTTACACTTTGTTGTGTAAATACTTCGTTATACATGATGAAAAATTATAGAAATATGTAAAATTTTCACAATCAAAAGCAAGCAGTTTACTTATTATATAAGGTAATAATTTTAATTACAAGGAGTTTTACTGACGAATGTAAATATACACCTTTAATAATAGATGGCCCCAACATTATTCACTATAACATTTGTAATTTTACATGTAATTTTTTCACAGTGTGTACATTCGTTGCCGTAATAAAAGTTTCTGACTTACCGACCCGATGCGCAGCAGCGGAGTTTAATTAACTGCGTTGATTCTGTAACATGCAATTAGAAAATTCACATTAAAACAGAGTGTTTAAGAAAACCAATATTAAAGAAAATAATTTTTTTATATTAAAGAAAAATGTAAATTAAATTGTATATTAAAGAAAATAATTTTTAAATAATTGAAAATAAACAATTGTATATACAAATTGTATATTGAAGAAAATAATTTTTAAATGATTGAAGATAAACAAGAGGAAGATTAATTTTATACGAAAGAAAAAATATTTACCCTAAAGTTGCTCCGCCGGTGCCTGATGCCTCTCCAAGGCCTCCTCCTCCACTCAGGTTGTCTTCTGACACAACACTCGCGAAAACACAAAGATCGTTCGCGCGATTTTACACTTTGAAAGTCTTTAGTCCGATTACACAAACGACACTCCCGAACGCGACGCGACACGACGAATCGCCGCGCGCGGTTGCGATTCGTTTAAACTGACGAAATAATAGTGAAATTATTCGTCAGTCCACGAAAGTTCGTGCTGAAATGAACAGAATCAATTAATAAATGTGCTCTCTAAAAGTCAATCGGTGGATTATCACTGAAAATAGCGAATCGATTCGTTACTTTCAGTAATAATCCACCGATTAACTTTCAGAGAGTGTTAGGCCTGGTTTATCATTTTCTGGTTAACTGTTAATATGGAAGTTACTCGACTCTCTATGCTTTTCTATATTATTATCTAAGAAGAGACAGAGAATCGATTAAACTATGGTCAACAGTTTATTAGAAACTGAAAAATCGGGCCCAAATAGTGCAATGGGTACCTTTGGTTGTCCCGTCTTTAGAGTATGTACTCTCTAAAATCAATCAATGGATTATCACTGAAAACAGTGAATATTCACTGATTCA